CATGGTTTTTCAAAAAGAAATATTTGAAAGACCCTGAGACGATGAAGTAAATGAGACAACGATGAAGAAATAAACTAAAACAGTAAAACCTTTACTATTACAACCTCTAGCATACTGTGTATTAGAAGGTATCTGTCATAAAACCTTTAAAACAGGTATTATACTTACTTGTACATGTATAGAGTTAAATTATTTTGACGTTCTGCGATTTTTTTGTCCTGGGTCAGAATCTCGCTCCGAGAGGGGAATTATTGTCCATACACAAAAATAGCACAATATTTCAACGCGTAGTGCAAATTACATGTACATGTATGATGTAGTTGGACTAACATGTATATATCGCTGAACATATCAGAACTTTGCTCACACCATAACTGTTGGAAGTTACATATTTCTACCGTCACTAAGTACTATACCAATACTTTTTTGTCCCTCGAGTTACTATATATCAACTTCTCCTTCTGGAAATGCTGACTTCATTACATAAACATGGGCCTTATACAAGGATTGAGACACATTAGTTCACCAATGTCATGAGCTCTCCTCAAAGCTTAACGTTACGACGATTGAAAACTAAGTTTAATACTTTACAAAGAACATAAATGGATAGGAGCATTGTCGAAGAAAATGCAGGTTGGAACGGTTTTGATCGCCTGGAGACGGAAAACGGACATTTGCCCACTCGGTTTTGCCCCTAGACACTTGCCCCCTTTTTGGCTATGCGGACAGTTGCCACCCCGGTCTAATTTTGAAGAGTAGACATAAGCCCCCTAAAACATTTGAAGAGCGTACATTTTCCCTCTGTCTGTGATTAAATTTGCCTTATAAATATAGAATGAAATTCAAGCAAAATCAGAGATCGAAGTTACAACTTCCTAACTTTTATTATCACTTTGTCTTCTTTTTATCTGTTATAGAAAATGTTTAAACATTCTTTTACAATTTAAATTCATGTATATTATAAACAATAAATGATACTTTGTAAAATAGAGCCGACATGTGTTTCGACCATAGAGGAAAATACTTATAATGTATTGTATTGTATATTATATCATTATATTCGTATATCAAATCTACTTGATGGAACATTAATCTTGGAGTGATGGGAGCCTTCAAATATTTCACGGGGCAATGACTCCATTTCAAAATATGAGGGGGAAACCAGCAAACTCAGGGATACAAATGTCTTAAAACCCATTCAGCCATCACCATCAGAAGTTGTTGTTGCATGTCATTTTATAGGAAACAAGGAGCAAAGAATCATATATATCAATTCAATTATTGTCACTGTGTTTGCTGAATCGCTATCAAACATTTAAACACGTAAATGGTAAAATTTTGAATTAAAGAACATCTTCTGATGTGTTCATAAGGCAGTGAACATGGTACCGTCAATGTGAAGATTCAGTGTAATTCTATGATGTATGTTCTCCATATAAAGAAAGTGTGTACAGCCATTATTGTGATTAAAATTGACACAACTAACAAAAGCAGAATTTTGATAAAGAATAAGAGGTTATGAAGCCGTTTTTCGGATGTATTACTTTACAGTCACATTTCATGAAATATTTTTGTGGGGTCCGTGTCTGATGCAAGGGTGGGTAACCCTTATGACGCTTACAATTCACACTTAATATGTTTTGTCTCCACATTTGCCCGAGCCATATCTCAAATAATTGAAGAATTTATCATCTCATTCAAGAGACATGCGGATCAAACATTTACGCGTCGTCTGCTGGCAGATTATAATATAACGGATGCATTTAAAGCAATTAAACATAATGTACTATCTTTGAAGACTTGGATTATATTCAACTTTTTTTTCTAAAAGTAGTATTTACTTAGGATTTGTAAGTACGTGTAAGAACACCCTAAATGTTGATGTTCATTATTCTGGTGAAAAAATGAAAGGTTTTTATAAACATACGATCAAGTTTCAAGATTTTATTAAGTCACAAACATAATGTCTATTGCCATAAACAATAATAGCGTGTATACATACATATAAACATATAAACATATTAACAAATGCATACAACATCTAAAAACGAGAAAAGTAATATTACATATATAATATCACAGTCATGAAATAAATATTAAGACTATAATAATTAATGTTTGAAATTAGTTTGAATTAGCTACCAGTTGTTTCTCTAGCTAAAGTTGCATAGTAAATAAATTGAGATAATTTCTTTATAACATTCTGTTGTGAGTTATTCATTAACATTTTAAATTTGTGTACATTTGGTCAAGAGCAGATATTCTCTTCGTAGATCAATGTAATACGGACAAGCAAGTAAAAAAATGATATTCCGTTTCCACTACATTCATATTGCATTTTAAACAAAATCGTTGATTTCTTTCAATATTTCTAAATCTTCTTTCTTCAATCATTAATTTATTAGCAGAACAATTAAAACGTGAAAGGGCTATTCTCAATTTACTATTTATAACACAATCAAGATACTTCTCTTTTCCAAACGTGCTTTGAAGTTCAAGTTTACTAGAATTATTAATTTCAGAAAACCATTGTTGATAATATTGATCATATACATAAGTTGGATAATAGACTTAAGAAAAATAGAATGAGGGTTATCAAATAAAAAAGAAAAGCCTAAGTCTTGAAAGAGACATTTTACATCATTCGTCCATTTATTAACAAACTGATTGTTAATATCTGTCATCATCATAAGTTTATACAAAGATGAATCTGGATTCTTAGCAGTTCTAAACCAAAACTTTACAATACTAATCTTACGTAAAACAAGAAGGGGAACTCTACCTAATTCACCATATACGGTAGCATTACATGTTTGTTGTCTAACACCTAAAACTTGCTTCATGAACTTTTTATGCACTCGCTCAATATCTGGTGAATTATGACAGCCCCATATTTCAGACCCATAGATACGAATAGGCATTATCATAGAATCAAACAGTTTAATTTTTTCAGAAACATTCAATGACAAGTTATCAAAAAGCGAGTTGAGTGCATATAAAGCCTTGAAGGCTTGCTCAGATAAACATTTTTGTGCTTTATTAAAGCTACCGTTTGAGGAAATTGTTACACCCAAGTATACAAAGTTTTTAAAAATATTAAAGGGACTCCACTGAGGTTTAAAAGTCTAAAAACATAACATTTGAATTGCTTACATAAATGAGCTGGGGTACTTTAAACAGTAATATAATTATGCAAAGACAGTTAAGAAATATACTTTGAAATAAATTGAAAATCGTATTTTTATGCTTTTCTTAGCATAATTTCAGTGAAAAGCGTTTAAACGCTTTTCAGTTTGGGTCAGTTTTTTTTTACAATTTGAATAATTATTCTAAACAAACGGTGTGCGCGAATGATTTGAAATTTTGCACAAAGATTAGTGGTCTAAACCTACATCAAATGGTACAATTATCTGGAAAAAATATTTTCAGTCCCATCATGTCAAAAAACCTCAGTGAATTTAAGAATTTTATTATCATAAAGAAAAACATCATTTGAAGGCCTATTGCCCTTTTTAAATATCATTACAACTGACATGTCGGGGTTTACAGTTATTCCCCAGTTTTGACAATATAAATGTAGTTTGTATATTTGTAATCCTTCTTTTGTATATGAGAACAACACAGTATCATCAGCAAACAATAAAAGAAATAATTTTAAATCTTCAATAGAGAAAAAATCAATATTGTCATCGTATAAAAAGTCACACATATCATTAATAAAAAATATTATAAACAACAGAGGAGATAATGGTTCTCCCTGTTTAACGCCTGTGTTACAATCGAAAAACTCACTTAAGGAGCCATTTACTCTTACACATGTTTTAACATTTTCATACATGACTTTTAACATATTTACAATTCTAGAAGTTTTATTAACTTTAACCATATACCACATCAAAAGCTTTACGAAAATCAATAAATGCACAATATAATGTTTTATTTTCATTTCTTATTACTTTATTTATAACTGAATTAAGAGCAAAAATAAGTCTATAGTGCTTTTATCTTTACGAAAACCAAATTGATAGTCTGACAGCAAATTATTAGTTTCTGCCCACCCATGTAGGCGAGAATCTAACATAATTGATACGATTTTATCATAAAAAACAACTATTATTGCAAGAACATGAATTTGCACAAGGATTTACAGTTTTATCTATTTCAATAAGACAATGTGTCGATATAGAGGATAAATCGTGAACTACAAGTTTGAAACAAGGGGGAACAACTCGTGCGAGCATAATGCATAATCGATCAGGCTATTACCGTTCGGTGAAAGGTTCGTGTTACTAACAATACCGGCATCGTCACCGACCCTACCAGTTATTATACATATATTGCTACTTTGACATAATTCTAAAAATCTGTCCCCGTGTGTATGGATAACTGTATCCATAGAAAATATGTGGGGAATATTAGGATTGTTATCACAATCATTATTTTGTTCAATAGTTGAAATAAATTTATCAAAATATGAACTACTGTCAACGTAGTCTAATTTAGAGTTTAAATCACCTATTATTGCTAATTGACCTAGTTGAGAGTATTCAAGAATTATACCTTTTTTCTAAGACTTAAAAAAACCCTCTTCATGTAAAGTATAATATATGGAGTTACTATGTGGTATGTACAAGCAGCATAAATAAATATCAGTCTGTAATTTAAAGAACCTTTTACATAGTTTAATCCACATAACTCCACTAGTATCTGTTTCTATCACTGAGATAAGCAGTCTTATGCATATTCAGACAAAAAAAACAACATGGCATAGCTTATTAAAAGGATTTAGCCCTATGCCAGAAATTCAGCAAACACTTTGCATGAATAGTCCATTTCTTACAATATAAAAAATCTAAGGACATTACAAACCTCCAACCAACCTACCCTCCCCCCCCCCCCCCAAAAAAAAAAAAAAAAAATAAAAAAAAAAAAATAAATAAAATAAATAAAAGATAAAAATAAAATTAAAATAAAATAAAATAAAACAAATAAATAACAAATTGATTTTACGATTTTACGGGAAACAACCATTTAAGGTCCAGGGGAACAACTCTGGCAATTAACAAAATATAAATACACCCCAATTACTGACCCTGTTACAATCGGACCAAAAGTCCGTATGAACGGTTTATTTCGGAATGATAGTGATGTACTTTCCTCATTTTCAATGTGCTATATCTATCATTTTGATCAGTGCGATGGCGACAGTGCGATAACACTATCGCTTTGTCGTCATCGCACTATCGCGTTATCGCATTGTCGCCATCGCACTGTCGTCATCGCACTGTCGTATTGTCGTCATCGCACTGTCGCACTATTGCATTGTTGCCCTCTGTATCGTTAATAACATTATACTGTTCAAACAAACACAATAACAAAATCTGTCTTTTATCACAATTCATTTGTATATCACAGGAGATTCTTGTTAACATTGTTGTAAACACGGTGTTGTTGTCTTTATTTACTTCCTAGTATACGATAATGTTGTTTCTTTTTTCTTTCCCTGAAGACAAACAATGTTTTATTTAACATGTTATACAAGTTTATAACAAATATTAAATGAACAAAATTACATTTCTGAAACGCTTGTGTAATTCTGTTATAAGAATATAGGGGCGACCTTCATGGCTGACTGACTTCGGATCAGTCGTCTCTCGCCAGTAGAGGTTCAAACCCAGCCAGCCGGGACGCTGAATATGTCATTGAGGCGACTGTCGACCTAGCTTACCAAATTACTTAAAAAATAATATATTTGTTAAGTGTAATGCGTTTTTTTTTCAGTGCAAAATGCAGAAAGAAAGACAAGGGGAAAACAGTTTTGAGTTATTTTTTCTCTTTCAGTATACAATGAAAACTTACTCGTACTTTCATATTTGGTAATATAAGTCAAAGAACACTCAAAGTCCTATGTCTATTTAACTCTCATATTTGGCACTAAGATTTAAAGGTTGCTCATTTCGAATCACTTGGTACGATGTTTACCTGAATCCAGAATAGTGGTCTATATCAATATGCTAGGCAGATATCCAGCTAACTTACGTCATTGTTTCTACGAAGATGCTTGCTCAAGCATGGAAAATGTATGGAATACTTCCCTTTCTGTGACCCGATGACGGTGTTGTGGTATAAGGCCCGGCAGAGAGGCCGTGCCCGAATGGGTTCGAATTCCGTCATTGAATATGAGGAAGGTAGCTTAGAAAACGTCGGTGGTTCTATTCAGATGCTCGTTTGTGCATGGAACAGCCACAATCTCGCAACGTGACCTTTTCTGTGTCAGTGGTACTTTACCCCCCCCCCCAACCCCCCCCCCAAAAAAAAAACAACAAAAAACAAGATTGCATTTGAGAAAAATGCTATGCCACCGCATGTTTCAAATTTCATAGCTGTACATCAAAGACAAGAAAGTAGGTCACATCATCAAAATCTAGGTCAAGTTCAATTTTAACAACTAAAAAACTGTGCACATGGTCAAAATGTCATTGCTGTATGCACATCAAAGGACAAGAAAGTAGGTCACTGTCCTCTTGGGCAAGGCATAATTTTGACCCAAGGATTTAATAACAATCTTGAGATACAGGTCCCACCAAACAACATTTCAAGTCAAATACATTGTATCTAGCTAAATTTTCTCCATTCAGAAACATTTGTTTTATTTCCTGTTTTTACTACGTGAACATAATGAGAATCCACTGCCCCCGGGCAGGGCCATTTTTTTGACATTTGAACAACTTTGGTAAAGGACCTATAGATTGATATTATATATCAAACATCAAAGTCTCTATGCCTTGAACCTTCAGACAAAATTTTTTTTTCACTATATGTACATAATGAAAATCAATGATGCCCCAGGGCGGAACCAATTTTGACCCAGGGCTATAATTTGAACAATCTTGCTAGAGGTCCACTACACAATGTTTCATGCAAAAATAATCTTACTCTATCCTTTGTAAAATTTAGAGAAGACAAAAGGCACATTTGAACAACTTTGGTAGAGTACCTTTAGATGATATATTTAACAAATATTAAAAGCTCTAAGCCTTGTACCTTCAAACAATAAGATTTTTTTATTTTTTACTATATGTATATATTGAATCAATGACCCCCCCCAGGGCGGGGCAAATTTTGACCCAGGGGACTATAGTTTGAACAATCTTGCTAGAGGTTTACAAACAATGTTCATGCAAAATATCTAACCTGTAGCATTTGTCAAATTGGCTAGAAGAAATTTTTTTAAAAGTTTTTACTATATACATATAAGGAAAACCAATGACCCTGGGGCATGGCTGATTTTGACCCCAGGGCTATAATTAATTAACAATCTGGTAGAGGTCTACCAGACAATGCCCTTATGCAAAATATCTAAGCTCTAAAAACTTTTGGGTCTTTACAAGAAGGTGTTTTAAGTTTTTACTATATGTACAATATAGCGAAATCAATGAACCCCGGGGGCGGGGCCGATTTTGACCAAGGGCTATAATTTGAACATCTTGGTAAGGGTCTACCAGATGATGCCTTATGCAAAAATATCTAAGCTCTAGGCCTTTTGGGTTTTTACAAAGAAGGTATTTTAAGTTTTTTACTATAATGTATCATAGTGAAAATCAATGACCCCCCTGGGGCGGCGCCAATTTTGACCCCAGGGCTAATATAATTTGAACAATCTTGTTAAGAGGTCTACTAGACAATGCCTTATGCAAAATATCTAAGCTCTAGGCCTTTTGGGTCTTTACAAGAAGATTTTTTAATTTATTCTTATAATTCCCTTTTGGTGCCATGGCCAACCAGATTTCTATATGGAATGAAATTCTTTGAACAACTTTGGAAGCCCTTAACCCAAGGAACAATCCTGCCAAGTTTGGTTGAAATTGGACTAGTGGTTTTTCACAAGAAGATTTTTTAAGTTCACTATATAATCTATATAACACACACACAAACACACACACAAACACACACACACACACAGGTGAATCGCTATATGCCACCGCATCGCAGATGCTGCGGTGGCATAAAAAAACAACAACAACAAAAAGCCATTAAGTTTATATATCATTTCCTTACCTTACATTTTGCAACAATAAATTATACAAATAACGATGATAACAAAGCCTGCAACTCCACCAATAATCCATCCTACGATTATGTATTTGCTGAGGCCCCTATTTTGTAAAAAAATAAGCCGCGTCACGACAAAACCAACATAGTGGGTTTGCGACCAGCTTGGATCCAGACCAGCCTGCGCATCCGTGCAGTCTGATCAGGATCCATACTGTTCGCTTTCAGTTTCTCTACTTGTAATAGAGTTGGTAAGCGAACAGCATGGATCCTGATCAGACTGCGCGGATGCGCAGGCTGGTCTGGATCCATGCTGGTCGCAAACGCATTATATTGGTTTTGTCATGACGCGGCTCAATTATGTATATACTATATAGTTTATAACATAAACCAGTTAAAACGAACGTAAAGTTAAAACCATATTCTTACTGTGATCGCGTATCACAAAACAATATTACTTTATATAATTACTTCATATATCGTACCTATTTCTTTCTAAAAAGATTAAAAATTGAAAATTCCTCATTCAGTACTATACTATGTTTGTTTTTTCCTTTTGATACTCAGTATCGAACTAATGACTTCGCTTGGTTCCTATACCACATGACATTTTATGAAAAATCCACGTCCAGATTTGTATTTTTTATTTTCAATTGTTTTAAAGTTGAATCCTCTCATTCAAATGGGTAACACATATATAGGATGTTTCAGGAGGGAAACAATCCAGTGATTTGATGAAGACTGAAACCGCGTGTTTGAACAATCAGGTATTCACACAGTGAAAAACATAATGACCTTTTCAAAGCAAAAAGTATATCATTTGCCATTTTTGTATTGGTTCTGCTCCACGGGAGAACACCAAATAAATCAAGAGTGGTGTAGACACCTGATTATAAAACACTCTGATACCCAATATAAATAATATTAACACCAAGAAAAAATGTTAACGGAAAAAGTTCCATTTCATCTTAACGTTGGTTTTAAGTGATTATATGATTTTAATATTGTATCGATACATATTTATTATGGTGTGGAAAAAAATACTTACGGATCCCCACAGCAAATACTTTATCAATGTTATCTCTACAACATGCCATGCTCGGCAATTAGTCAGGTGTTGTTGGTTTTGGATTCATAACCGTTTCCGTCATTCGTACAGTAATCACCTCCGTAAACCGTCACGGCTTAAAATATAAAACGCTAATTTATTTACAATTTTATCTTCATTTGAACATTTTCTCGTCAATATTTTTAGTTAAAAAATTTTTTTGACAGATAAATGTTTACAAAGATTACACCACCACCACCACCACCAACACATCCACCAACAGCAAAAACAACAGCAACAACAACAGCAACAGCAGCAGCAGCAGCACCACCATCACCACCAACAACAACACGACTATTTAACCTTGTGGCAATTTAACACAACATGCACAAACATGAATCTTATTTCCTGAATGAAACAATTTGCTCAGTTATTTAAAGGCTCATTATGCCCTAGACATGTTTTTGTCTTAAAGAAATTTATATGGAATTAAACTCATATTCTCTTATTATTCAATAAAAAGAAATATCATCGTGAAATAAATAAATAAATAAATAAATAAATAAATAAATAAATAAATAAATAAATAAATAAATAAACAACTTTAAAATATTTAAAAGTCTTCACAATTTTCTGTTTAAAAGATAAATAAATTTCATTTCAGCATTTCATAATTTCTAACATAAATATATTGTTTTGTTTAACAAAAAGTGATCTGAAAAAGATAACTCCATATGTAAAATATATTTCAACTTTTTTTTACCTAAAAATCCGCAAACGATTGTACAAAATAAAAGCGTGAAAAGCGACATGGTTTCCAAGATGCAATAAAAAATGTTAGATTGTAAAAAAATTATTTACCCTTAACAAGAGCTCTTTTTTGCAGAATTCGCTCACCTGGTTTATTTTCAACCCACCTATTTTGTAAAAAAGGTGGGTGGGGTAAGAAACAGCCTGATAAATGCAACAATGAAGTATCTTAAACAACTGTCCCTAGGTGGGTGCATAAATTTAAAAATGTGCACATGTCAATGAAAGATGTATAAGTCTGGTAGAAACGCTGCAGTTAAAGTGACAGTTGAAGAACTTTATTTTTTGCATGACAGCGCTCCCACACACAAACGAGCTACTGAAATTGATTTAAAAAAAAACAACAACAACAAAAAACAAAAACAAACAATACCAAAACAAGGGGATGTCCTTAGGCATCCACCATATTCTCCAGAATTGACACCCTGTGCCTTTTTCCTCTTTCACAGACTGAAAAAAAAATCTTGAAAGTCATCGCTACAAGAGTAGAAATGGACTTGGGTCGGCCATTATTCAGTTATGGAAAAGTTTACCTTATGAGGACCATGTTGAAGAGAGATTATTTCGTAAGGTGAAAAAAGAAAATTGTAAAATATTTGCAGTTTTGACATTAAATATTGACCCTCCCTCGAAGGTTCGAATTATTATTATACACAGTTCCAAGTTATTAAAAAGGAGAATAAAAACGGGACGAGTGGGCGCTCCGTAACGGCGGCAGTACCGGAAGCGTATGTTTTTCATTTTGTAAATTTTCCGAGTCCGCGACTGAAAAACTATGGGATTTTGAAAAAAAAAAATTGATTACGATCTCCAACTAACGTTTTTCACGGCTGATTTTTTCGTGTTATTGACCGGTGATTTAGCCCTAAATCATATAGGCGGCAATCACAAGAAGTCCGTTTATAGAACAGGTGAGCTAAACTTCGTGCAATCTGTACACAATTATTTATTTGTTGGGACAAGTTAAATGCCTGATTTGACAGGTAAACTAGCCAGCCAGTCAGGTGGGTTGGTCTTTTGTCTCAATTCATGGAACAGATGAATATATTTTGGTGTTAAGTTACCTCCATATTATGAACAAGTAACCTTGAATAAAATAATTTGATCACAATCATCGCTTTATCAAATACTAGTATGTGATACATGACACTTTCAAGCCCCCCCCCCCCCCCCCCACCACACACACACACACACAAAAAAAGATCAGTGAATAAAGAACGAAATATACGAAAGTCCGATGGGGATATTTCATCTTCATGAATTCACGATTTCAGCTTCATAAATTCTCGATTTCAACTTCATGAATTTACAATTTCAACTTCATGAATTCACGATTTCAACTTCACGAATTCACGATTTCAACTTAATGAAGTTGAAATCGTGAATTCACGAAGTTGAAATCGTGAAGTTAAAATCGTGAATTTGTGAAGCTGAAATCGTGAATTCATGAAGTTGAAATCGTGAATTCATGAAGTTGAAATCGTGAATTCGTGAAGTTGAAATCGTGATTTCACGAATTTGAATTCGTGAAGTTAAAATCGTGAATTCATGAAGTTGAAATCGTGAATTCGTGAAGTTGAAGTCGTGATTTCACGAATTTGAATTCGTAAAGTTAAAATCGTGAATTCATGACGTTGAAATTGTGAATTCGTGAAGTTGAAATCGTGAATTCGTGAAGTTGAAATCGTGAATTCACGAATTTGAATTCGTGAAGTTAAAATGGTGAATTCATGAAGTTGAAATCGTGAATTCGTGAAGTTGAATTCTTGAATTCATGAAGTTTAAATCGTGAATTCATGAAGTTGAAATCGTTAATTCGTGTAGTTGAAATTGTGAATTCACGAATTTGAATTATTGAAGTTGAAATCGTGAATTATTGAAGTTGAAATCGTGAATTTGTGAAGTTGAAATCGTGAATTCATGAAGTTGAAATCGTGAATTCATAAAGTTGAATCGTGAATTCATGAAGTTGAATTCGTGAAGTTGAAATCGTGAATTCATGAAGTTGAAAACTTGAATTCGTGAAATTGAAATCGTGAATTCGTGAAGTTGAAGTCGTGAATATATGAAGTTGAAATCGTGAATTCGTGAATTCTGTATGTTGAAAAGGGAAATACACGAAGTTAAAATTGTGAATTCATGAAGATGAAATCGGGAATTCATTGAAATGGCCCTACCGGTCTTTCGTAGAAATATGATATGACTCTTTTCCATGAAAAAATATGTGTCATTTGATTAGATGAACTCCCTTTGAAGTGTGTTTTTGTTTGTTATTTTACGAAATTTGATTGTGAAATAACATGGTTTGTTAGAATGGAAGTCAGACAATGACAAATATTTTTACGCACGTTAAAAAAAATGTTAATGATCCATGTATACAGTATAAACAAAAGTTAAGAATACTACAATAAAATTGCCCGCTCTCAAAGAAAAAAGTTAGTGTTAAAAAGACTGAAAGTAAATAATCTTTGTTTAAATTAGAGATCGTGTATAATCAACACGAATTTTAACTGATCAAATGTGTTATGAAAATTAAAGAATATTATCAAAAAAATGATGATGGCTTTCAAGACAACAACAAAAAACAACACGATTAAAACTGTACGAGAATCTTAGTAATATTTTTACATCTAATAATTTTCTTGGGGTATAAATAAAAAGCCTGTACCACCAGTTAAAAGCCAAACCAGTCTGTCTGACCAGGCTCTGCATTGTTGGTAGCTCATTTTTTTTGTATATTCATATTGAAATCCCAAATACTATGATAGTGTTGTTGTAAAGCAATGCAAACTATGACGCAAATAAAGAAAAACCCCTGACACAAAGCAAGACAAACCCATGATTTAAAGCAAGACAAATCTATGACATAAAGCAAGGCAAACCTATGACATAAAGCACGACAATCACATGACACAAAGCAAGGCAAACCCATGACATAAAGAAGGACAATCACATGACACAAAATAAGACAAAACTATGACACAAAGCAAGACAAACCCATGACATAAAGCAAGACAATCACATGCAAAAAGCTTAAGCAAGACAAACCCATGACAAAAATCAAGACAAATCCTTGACACAAAGCAAGACAAACACATGACAAAATCATGGCAACACATAACACGAAGCTTGATAAGTCACTGACACAACTCAAGACAAACACATGACATAAATCAAGACAAACCCATGACACAAAGCAAGCCAAACCCATGACACAAAGCAAGACACACCCATCACACAAAGCATGACAAACCCATAACACAAAGCATGACAAAACCATGACACAAAGCAAGACACACTTATGGCATAAATTAAGGCAAACACAAGAAACAAAGCAAGATAAACCCATGGCACAAATGAAGGCAAACACATGACATAAATCAAGACAAGCCCATGACACAAAGCAAGACAAACCCGTGACACATCTCAAAGCAAACACATGACATAATTTAAGACAAACCCATGATAAGCAAGCAAGACAAACCAATGACACAAAGCATTCCAAACCCATGACATTAAGCAAGATAAACACATGACACAAAATAAGAAAAACCAATGACAAAAAGCAAGACAAACCCATGACACAAAGCAAGACTAACCCATGACACAAAGCAAGACAAACCCTAAACACAAAGCAAGACAAACTCATGACACAAAGCAAGACAAACTCATGACGAAAAACAAGGCAAACCAATGAAAAAAGCAAGACAAACCCACGACACAAAAAAAGACAAACCCGTGACATTAAGAAAAACAAACCAATGACACAATGCAAGACAAACCCATGACACAAAGCATGACTAACCCATGACACAAAGCAAGAAAAACCCAGGACACAAAGCAAGACACACACATGACACAAAGCTAGACAAACCAATGAAAAAAGCAAGACAAATCCACGACACAATGCAAGACAAACCCATGACTTTAAACAAGACAAACTCATGATTTAAAGCAAGACAAACCCATGACACGAAGAAAGACAAACCAATGACACAAATCAAGACAAATGCATGACACAAAGCAAGTCAAACCAATTTTCAAAGGAAGACAATTCATGACACAAAATAAAATAAACCAAACAAGCAAGACAAACTCGTGACACAGAGCAAGACACTCATGACACAAATCAAGTCAAACCCATTACACAAAGTAAGACAAGCACATGACACAAAACAAGACAAACTCATACCATCAAGCAAGAC